TTAACCTAAGTCTTGTTCAGGACCCCTTATATTATTTTACAAACATTTACATCCGGTGTCGAATTAAAGAAAACACATAAGTCAGCTCATGTGATAGGTTGAAATACCGTGAAAGTCTTCTGGTCCTCTCTAACAGGGAAACATTTTTTTTCTTATTAAATATACAATATGTAAACTACCTTTACAATAATATATGCTACGATAATAATAATTAATATAAGTTACTTGATAAAAGGAGTAACTTAGTGAATACACTTTATATTGATTTAAAACGATATACACGCATTTTTTTTATATATAGTAATTTAGATTTAGATTAAAAGTTTAGGTTATTATTTTTAAATGTATTTTTTATAAAATATAAATTAACTCTTAACAGTGGAAACCGTAATAATTCAATGTGCGTATAGAACATTATTTAAATTTTGATAATACCTTCTTCTTCTTTTTTTTTTATTGTATTTTTTTTTTAAATTAATGTGTCTTTTTCAGATTTTATAGGAATGTAAATTATCTATGTATAATTATATACAATTAGATATATGGGGGGTACATATTAATATAACACATAGAGAATTTATATTTCTTTAAATTTTAATTTGTTTTTTTACATCGATCAATCAATATTATTTATTGACACGTTTTAATAATTTATACAGTTGTGTTTCAAATAAATTGTTTGTAGTAAATGTATTTGATAAAAAGAAAAAATAAACACAAGTGAAAATCGTGAAATGAATTTTCTATGTATATACAATATTTTCAAATAATATTTGTCCATCATATTCGTCTTAATATGCAGTTTAAATAAAAAATAATATACAAACATTTTACAGTATAACAATAATATTTATATTATGTATTCGTTCAAAATATGAAGTATCATTATATTCAAAAAGATATTGAAAAAAAAGGGATTTATTTTAGTATAGTAAGAAACGTTTATCGATATAATAATATTATTAAATCATTTCACAAATATGGCATTTTTATCACCGTTGTATTTTTTTTCATACCAAATATGGTTGTCAATTTTTCGGAAATTTATATTTTAGAATACAATTATAATTTATATTGATAGATACAGAGTTTTAAGTGTTCATTAACTGTAGTTGTACCTACTTATAACGTTTTCATATTTGTTTTCATATTCTGAGCGCATGGTGAAGAATGTATAAATTGTCGTGAACTTTTTTCTAATTTTTTTTTATTCTGTACGTTAAACATTTTTGTAAAATTATATAAAATTGTATTATATACTTTATATATATATTAAGTAAATATAAGTAAATCTTGACGTCAATGGATTTTAATGGTCATTAGGATACCCTAAAAGAAGTGGAATATATATCATTAATTACGATCTCAAATTCAGGAATTAGAGTTGTTTTATAAAAGAACTAAAGAGATAAAATATGTTGGATCGAATTTCGCAATTTCATTGGGGAGGAATGTATTTTTTTTTAGCTTAGAAAACCTCTACAAATCTTCTAAATGAAGTCAGGGTAATGTAATTATGTGCAATATACATTATGTATAGCATTAGTAACTAGAATATGCCTTTTGGGGGTTTTAATTCTCAACTTTTAAAAACACAATTTGACTTTATAGAGGCAGAGCTCTGTTACTCACTGGTATTTTTTTGTATTTAATTATAAAATGATTATTATACACCGACAAATTGTTAGGTGTTTAATATTGTAGTATAATATTTGTTTTATTATACAAAAATGGATATCATACATAATAATTAATAACCTATATTTATGTATAAAATACGTTGTATATGTCTTCTATCATGGTTGTATTTTTATTTTACAGAACATTTTCATCTACTAAAATTCGCTGTTCAAATATTCAGTGTTTAATACAACCATCTAGTGCGAGCACACAAAGTCACTCATTATGTAGACATTTATTCTTCATTAGGTAAGTGAAAAATGTAATGTTTTTTTTTACACGACATAGATAGATAGATACACAATCAATATATGTAATATGACCGGAAATTTAAATAATATATTATAGTGATGGGTATTTGATAAAGTTATTATTTAATAAATTCCATTATATTCTTCATCATTTCGATAGTAATATTTAATATAATAGGATCTATATATACTATATATAGGTATATATATTTTATAAATATTAAAGTTTAGGTTTGGTCTATATAATTATTTGACTATTTTACATTGAAAAGAAAAAATACTTCACGGAATTCTAAAATACATGTTTTAGATTTTAATATATTAGTTTTTCAATGGTGTGTGATTATTTTTTTTTTAGCCTGTCTGTTATGTTCGTTTAACCTTATACAAATTCCAAGTTTATTATATAAGTATACTTAAACATAAAAAAAAGCTGGATGCAATGTCATAATTTATTTTCATAAGTGTCTTAAGTTCAAATGCATGATAAAATTTGTTTTAAAGACGAACAATTACAATTTTTTTTTTCAATTACAAATCAACAACGTTTTCATTTAAAATTTATCAAAAAAAATAAATCTCAATAAAGTTACTTAATAAAGCTTTGTTCTAAATCTTTTATTGCTTAAAATGATTTATCGTTGCATACAGTTCCTGATCTAAATATTACTAAGTACTTATATATATAGTGTCCTACCGTGTTTTTGACAGGGGGGTTCGTATATAGAAAATAATTAAATTTGTTTACCCCCTAGTAACTAAAACAAAAATAACTTAATATTATTAGTTTACTTTTAAACATTTCTCAGTTCAAAACGTTTAAAGTTATATTCACTTTAATAAATTATTTTGAAAATTTCGAAATTGAACAAATTCTCTTATCCTTCCGAAATAAAATTCATCTTAAAAAACAAAGTTTAAAATAAATGCATTTAAAAAAGGTTAGAAAAATTCGTAGAACACAGTGGATCACCTTGTATTGTATATATTTACATATACTATCTCAGTCTACTTTTACGGGTAACATAGCAAAAGTATGTTAATTAGAACGTAAACTGTGGTGTTTAGATTGAAACTAGAATTTAAATACGAATAAAAAAGATTAAAGAGTAGAAAATTATCAAGGGCTGCATCTATTTTTTTTAAAAACAATAATCGTACAAAAAAGTTACAAACTACATAAACAAAACTAAAAATAAACATGGTTTTAACTTAAACTTGTTTGTATCATTATGTTTTAGAAAAAAAAAGCTATTCTATCCTTGGAAATATTTTCTTCCTTGAATTGTTTTGTTTGTGTTTAAACACCTATTTCAACCTTAACATTACAATTACGTTCCAAATAACATAATTTTATTTTGTCGTCCTTTAGGTAGAGTTAGATAGTAGATGCGGCATGGAGACCTCTTGAGGATCTAAAATAACGACTCCGTTAAATTAATTTATTCGGTTTAATAATAATATTTCATCATGTTAAACAAAACAACAATAATATTGTGAATTCGACTATAGATTGCCAGTTATGGATATAAATTAATATTATTCGGATGAAAAATCGATAGCAAAAATAAATGTCAATTAAGTGTCTTATTATCAATGTAACGGTGATGTCATCGTCAAGAATTTGTGACAATCGTACAAAGACACAAAATCATGACGTATTGAAATAAAAAATCAACAATAATTTTATAATTTTTTATTATTATTCGTGTTTGAACTAAGTTAAGTTTTTATTAAGCCTTAAATTAAAATTTCAACGTACGGGTACCTTATTACTAAGTACATATTCGGTTCTCGCATATTTTATGAAGGTAAAACAAATGTATGCAGACTTATACATTTTCGATTGAATTTAAAGTATATTTTTGGCGTGTTTGGTGAGATTGGACGATTTCTAAAATGAAATGGTTAATAATTAAAACATTGTTATCTTGTATTTACGAAATTATTGATTTTTATTTATTTTTTTTATTTTTTAGAAAAGTACTTAAATGTATATTTGATATCTGTCTTCAACCAACCAAACTACTCTTTAAATTGGAACTCTCATGAATTTAAAAAAAAAAAATCAAATATCTTATTACGTTAATTTTCTTAAAATAGATACTTAAATGGTGATCAAACAATAGATAGGTATTATATAAAAATATATTTAAGGTAATTTCTGTCACGAAGGAATTATACCAAATAATCCACAAAAATCGATAGGTACCTTATAATCGAGTACTTGGAATTTATAAATACCTGCGTAGTGCTAATACTTATATACAGTATATGTCAATACTCATTCGACTATAGATGTTTCGATTTGGGTTAAGACACTTAACTTTCCGGTGGACAGAAAGGACACTGCAGTATAAGGACAGGTGTCAAGAGTAATTAAAGGAGAATTTAATTGGATTATTGCACTCTCTCCATCCAGGTCCTTATTTATTCTTGCAACAGTCTTCGCTGAATCTCCGCTGTCGGAATAGATTAGGAGATTTATGGACGTGAAAAATATACCGAGTTAAAAGAAAATAATGCGATTTTGTCAAACATAGTTATAAATAACTGTACATTAACAGTCATCAACTTTACTATGCTTTAAAAATGTCGCAGATCTCAATGCCAATAATTGCTTGTTCGCGTTTTAATAATTTTAAATTTTCTATGTTCTTGAATTAAATTAATTTATGTTATTTATTTTATGGAACTATGGAATTTCAGTTATATAAAATTATATACTATATGAATTCACAAAATTATACAAATTTAACAACCAAAATTTTAATCACAATTCATTATATTAAATTGTATACCATTTTATCTTTCAAACTATTATTATACGTTCGCTAGCTACTCTATGTGAACATGTGTTATTTCGCCCCTTCCCAATAAGTGCCTATCCATACCTTTGATATTATTATAATAGGTACTCTTTGTTACTTGTTTGATGTTTCGTATAAACTTTATATGCAAATATAATATAACAACTTTTATTAAATATTTCTGTCCCAAAAAGACAATAACAATATGCTAACAGCAAATTTGTTATTTATAACAATGAATAAAAAAAAAATATAATATATTGTTTACGGTCGGAAAGAACTTAATCCCTCTTTTATACAAATGTATGTAATCATTTTTTGAGTCAAAACGGTTTAAATGAAATATTACCGTTCATTCCGAAACACCAGAATAATAATAATAATAATTATTATTGTTTGTATAGTGATATTTTTATTTTAGTTAATCATTCGTACGCGCATTGTTATAATACCATAACGATTACTTTTCCTGTAAAAACAAAAATACATGATATTTGTACATAATAATAATGATTATGTTTATTTTTTTAGATTCTGAGGGTAAAATGTTTCAGTTTTGATATGGTTATATTATAAGCGATTTCTTTATTTTTTTTTTTTAGAATCAGAGCATAGCGAGGAATGTATTGGTTTTACAATGATGTTTATTTTTTTGTTTATCTGTAAAACAATTTTCCACTAGAAATTTGGTTTGAATATATCAAGTGTAACAACTTTTCTGAAAGGAAGTTTTATCTTCTTGGTACTTAAAAACCATCACTTTTTTTATTTTTCAAGCGGTTTTCATAATAATTGGGGAAAACCGAAAAATGTCAGTAGATTTATAAAAGAAACTTCGCTCCAAATCGTTTTTTGCTAGCAATAATATATCGTTGTGTACAGATATAAATTGAATCCCCTTCTTCTAGATACTACCTTTCTAACATATCACCTACATGAGTAGCCTACCTATGTGCGAAACATATGCGATTTTTTTTTTATTGATATCTCGGTTATCTTGGTAACCTACGGCGATAACCCATCTATGCAGTGGTTTTCTAAACAGTAGTTTTGAAAAGAAAATATGTAAGTATTACGAATTAATTCAAAACATGCGCCCCCTCCACTAAGATAATTATTTCCCTTTTTTATTATTATTTTAAAAAGCTCTATCAAACTACAATTTCAATCGATCAATCAAATACGACCGACGGATTTCTGTTAGCCAAGTACCTTCTTTAAACCGTTTTCCTTTTACTCACGGGATCTCGCCGTCCATCAATCTATTTTGTAAAAGATTTACCACAAAATACCGTGTTAAATTTTCCAAACTTTATGATTTTTTTTCTCCACTAGTTGGGTATTTCATATAAAGGGTTCCTATTTTACTACGTGAACTGATGACTAGAATATACTAAATATATAATCTTGACTCTTTATTATGTATAGGAAGAGAAAAGAAAGAAATAACAAATTTAATGTTTGCTTGTACCTTTATATGTATAGTGATATTGTGGGTTATGACTAATGTCCTCCTGTATCACAATGTTTAGTTATTAATCAATATTTTAAAGAGTAAAATATATGGTTAAATCGATTAATATACAGTTAAATTGCCTGAATAAATCAGATAAATTATATTCAATAATTATTATCATTTTAAAAGGAGATTGAATAATGGTGAATATTTGTCACGTTTAAGTGATTAAAATAAATATTATACGCTTTAAGTTAAAACTAACGTTTGAAAATTAGGACTCTGAAAAACTTCACCAAATCACTTATCGCAAACTATTACTACGTTATTTCGATTTAATCGAAATGTTTTAATTAATTATGAAATTATTAATAATAGGTATACCGTTTAATTGATTGGATCTTCGATTCGTTATATTTTTTTTTTTTATTATTATATTATTGATGTTCAATATTCTTGTCTGTTTTAAATAATTTATATTGTTTCTATACTCTGAATATAGCGAGTACCCATATCCATAAGCAGTATTAGCTTTTTAAATTCTGAGTGGAGTGAAGAGTTTTATGGTTTTACATACATGTGACCACTTTTTCTACCGAAAATCTTACACCTTTTTCCGAAATCAAATTGTTAGGATGCTACTATAAAGAGATCATTTTTTGATTTTCCTGGTAATTTTCCCGATAAAAAAAAAAAAAATGAGAAAAAACGGGAAAATATGCGAAATATATTAGTAAAATATTTTGATTTTTCTTCTAAAGACAAATTTTTTAACAGAATTTTGCTCCAATTTACAATGATAGGACTTTTTTTGAAAGGAAATCTCATTGGGAAGGTATTTTAAGTAAGTTAATTTTCGATTTTCTAAAGAGTTTTCCCAGCAAATATGAATCAAGAAAAAATTTAGGAAAACCGAGAAAAACGTAAGAAATACTAGGAAATCGGTGCAATATTAAACAAATATCTTTAAAGAAAATATATAATTCCTATTTAATTATTTATCTATTATATGACATATACATTGTTGCTAAAGTATCACTAACAACTGAACTCCGCTCAAAATCTTTTTTTCGTTAGCAATGGTTTATCGTTGCTTACACATATTCCCTTACAGACATTAAATTCTCTTTTCTATCCTTCCTAACTTTCAACCTAAAACAGTGGCTGCACCCACATTGGAAATATGTCCGTATTTTGTTTTTTAGATTCAGTGTAGTGATGAAACTTTTATTTTAACTAAAAAAATTATTATTTTCTCGTAAGACACGTTTTAGTTAGGTAGTTAAAATACTTAAATACTTGAATTTTCTAGAATATTTAAAAACCTAACGGCAAATGACAATGTAATATTGTTTTTTTTTTGTTATTTTCTAGTTTACCTATGGTTTCATTATTTTCAATTTTGTCTTTTTGATGATATTCAGTTCAAAATATTCGTAGAATTGAAATTATGAGAGAAAAATTCGATTTGTTTTTTCTAAATGAAGTACAAATTTTGCGATTTTTGTGCTATGTATAGATTTTATATATTTGTGAGTTTTTATTTGTTATTTTAATATTCGGATATAATTAACTGACCAAACATTCCTGTTTGAGAATTTAACTGGAGATTCGTTTTAAGAACAAATTTTGATAAAAATCCGTTAACATTACGGTTCTTGAAATCATATATAAACAAACTTTGCTCTTCAGAATCGTTTTTCGTTAATAAATGTTTATAATTTCATACAGATGTAAAATAAATATCTGTATGTATCCTACCTCCCAATTTTCTCACTAACAAAATGACACACATATCAGTATTACCAGCTCTTTAAAATGTTTTGTTTTTCTTAACATCTTAATTTCCCCATGGTTTTTGTTCCCTAGATAAAATGTGTATCCTATAATCCACCCCTGGAGATGGTAAGGTTCAATGTAATAATATTTTTTTACAATACTTACTTTTGTCGGTTTACTCTTCGTATTACAGCTATACTCCTAATATATCGATTGCCAAATAAACCGCAGTATATTAATAAATTACGTAAACATCGATGAAATATTATCATCTATATTCTCAGGAGGTAGTAAGAAAAACCAATCAACAAGTTGTCCCAAAGTTTATATGGTATAATTGATTGTACCCTTGTAGGTATCTAAATTAATTTAATAGTGTATACGAGTAGGTATTAGATTTCAACCACTACCACGTTACCTATTTAATACCTATAGATATTAAAAAAACAAATTTTTAAATATATGGGTATAATATTAGCGAGGACATAGTTATATATTATGAAATTTTGTTGTCATAATTCAGCATCTTTCTTGGAAGGTTTAAGCAAATTTGATTTTTTTTTTTTTTTTCAATCAATATATCAAATTGTTTGAGCTTTATTTTAAACTAATTATTTTCAAAATGTTACTCTTCTTCTGTGTATCATAAACATATAATTAACTTTTGATTTTAAAATAGCAAAACCCTATATTCTTTTCAATCCATATTCAAAAAGATAATTATTCACTACTCCCTCCTTACTTACAAAATGACAAATTTAAAATTGAATTATTTATCATGGTATTCAATGGTATGAAGGAAAATATTAAAAATTCCAACACTAATGTGTAATATTTTAAATTAAATCTTTGTATATTATTATTCATGTTTTTTAAAAAAAATTGTTGTTTAAAAACAAAAATGTAAAATTAGGGTAATATGGTATTTAATTGCTGATTAATAATCGTCGACAAAAAAATCTTAGGAACGTAATTGTGTTGTATTGTTATATCGTATGATTATTGATACCCAGTATTATTTTTATGCAAATCAAAATTATTGTATATAATATTATTATCTCCTGTAAGTCGAAATACATTTTTTTTTTTTTTTTTTATTACATATAATAGGGCTAGCAGTATATGCGTTTTTTAATACCGATATTTTTGTTATACACAGTAATTATTATCGTATTATCGATATTTACTAAATATTGATATTTGCGGGAGTTAATTTTTTTTTTTTTTTTTTAAAAGCCAATACTGTTGCCAATATTTTAAGTGGGTAATTGAGAAGGTATGATACATAAATGTAACACAATTATATCCGTAAATAACGATAAACTATTGCTAATTAAATACGATTCTGAGCAAACTATTAAAGCTGTTATTATTATACACGTGTTACTATTCTATATTATTAAATTTGTTATTATTATTATTTTTTTTTTTATTCTAACGTTTGTGCTATAATATTGGTTGCACTGAAATACCTGCATTTAATATTATTGGTACGTGCTCAAATTGCTACGCTTAATATTATTGTCTGGCTACCCCAAGACAACAATAGTATCATATACTTCATATACTTTATATTAATCACCATGTATATAGTAGGCGAAAGGTGTTGCTCACTGCAGATTGATTTTGTTGCTATACGACCACTACGTAATATTATTATTTGTGGAAGTTTGTTGTAAAGGTAAAGTGAAACGTCACGGCCGTAAGATGAATGACGGCACGGTAAACAGTAAACACGCGGTCTCGGCGTGGCATTAACTACCTATAGTAGGTACCTATATAGGATTATAGCTATATACTGTATATTATTATAAGACTATGTAGAGACGGGGTATATGGGTGTACGCACTATGGCCAAAGACGATGAACGAGATAATTATATCGGGGCGGATATATTATTTATATAGTAATAATATACCGACAATGGACGCGGGTATGGACGAGAAATAATTAACACCGTGGCTGACCATAAGGTAATTTTCTGAAGGAAGGAAGGATAAACTGAACCTAGATATCCAAACATGGACTTAAAGATTCATATGTGGATATAAGATCACAATAACTCTAAAGAAAGGAACGATAAGTCTACAATGAGAGGGTGAATAGTTGAGTCAATAATCATCTATACAATGCATTGTGTGCCATGTACCAGACCTCAAGAAAAACAATTTTTTATGGGTTTTAATATTTTCCAAGAGAGGACTATGCCTTTTGTCCCCACTCATAATTAAAAGTAGATATAAAATTATTATTGTTTTAAAATATTTAACCACTTTAGTTTCTATACGTTTATATAAATTACAATTAAGTGCAGATAACATTGAAAGCTATTAAACTAATAAATCATCTTGATATGATGGGTATTAACATTTAAAAATCACATTTATTAAATTTTCACTAACTGTAATCGTAAATGGATGAATAACATGCCATTATTTTCATTTGATATCTTCAACAGCAGATACTTATTCTTTTCAAAGTAATATTGAATCATAATTATAAAACAGTAAATTTCCTTCCAGTAAATTTCGGCTCACGAATAAAACATGTTCCTCCGGCTACAGTAACAAATCTGCTACAACTATCGCTCTTGTTTATCTTGTGTCTCAGCATCACCGCCGATTGTAACAGCCAACGAAAAACAATTAACTATATTTTTACTTGAGCCAATTTTACTACAACTGTTTTGAGGACGGTACAGTTGTTTAGTTTTTAACGCTATATCTAAATCCAGTGATCTGCAGTGGTGTAAAGGGCACAGCCACAGCCACCTCAGCCGGTTCGTTAATATTAAAATCTGTTAAACGCAGTGTAGATTTGGTTACCCTGGCAGAAACCGGTAGCATATACATTCTATTATTCTGGTATTTAATAAGAAAAAATCCTAGCTGTGCAATTTACTTAAACTGGCCCAACTCTTTTAACGTTGGTTCTATTTTGCTAGCGTAATCAGGTCGAAAAAATCTACCATAGATCGTCCAGTCACTCGGGTAGCGTTCGAGAACTTTGGTTTATTACAATGTTTATGATCCATGATAATTGTACGATTTTCTGAACGTACGTGAAGTTCGTTATAATATGAGGAAATTTGCATACTCGTAAATATATAAATCGTATATTGAAATATGTCTTTTTAAACCTATCAACACAATAAAAAGTTAAACAAATTATAAATAAACCAAAATGATCTACTAGGCTACTAAAATTATATAAATTATATAATATAATACATTTAATTTAATGAGAATCGCTGAAACGTTTAGAACGTGTAGTCTAGAGACGGACGCACATCGGTGACAAAAATACTGTCACAAAAATCGCACGGATAAAAAGAATGTTACACCATTTATTTTTTTACACTAGTTCGGTTACAATTTATGTACACTGATTTTGTGGATTTTATAATTAAAATCACGTTGAGTACTCAGAAAATTCTGAGCGAAGTTCAGTTGATAGTGTTTTTTTTTAAAAAATATGTTATATTATGGTTAAGTGATTACAACAATGATTATTAGAAACAAACTAAAACAATAAAAACTTTAAAATAACAAAAAATAAATAAAAACGTTTCCTAATGACAATCTTATTTTTAATCTTCCAATCTTTTTTAACCTAAAGAACCATGTTTTGCTCATTATTTCGATTATTAATGGAATTTAAAATGAATGACCTCTCTAAAGTATCACCCAGAGAACATTTCCTTTCAGAAAAGGTGATATACTTGATACATAAAAGCAGGATTTCTGGTAGAAAAAATAAACATTATTGTCAAACCAATACATTATTCGCTAAACTCAAAATCTAAAATAGAATTTTTTTTTGTTTTTCCATCAATATTTTGAAGATATAAGTTATTATAATAATAACAATATTAATAATAATAAATTTATTATAATAATAACAATATTAATAATAATTTATTTATTATAATACATCTTATAAAAGATATTGAACAAAAAAATATTTGTTTGTATTTGCAGTTTCAATCCTTTGGGTAGGACAAATATGTCTGGGAAATGTATACATTTCCCTGATATTCCACATTGCCCGTAAGGTCGTAGCATATATAATATGAATGTATAATAGAAGTACCTACCCGACTGACTGATTGACATATTATGTAATCACGGTAAAAGCATGTGTGATTTTGCATAGTTCAAAATACTGGGTCGAAAAAATTGTGTACCATTATTTCTTATAATAATATAACGACGTCGGAAACTAGCATTAGAGAATCATTTTATAAAATATTCAACCTATCATGGTTTAAAAATAGGTGTCAAATTATGAAAGAAATAAAATTAAAAACGCGTTCAATGTCCCAAAACTTTTCATTTATACAATTTAACGAATGCATAATTAAACACCTGCACCGATTTGGCCGATTTTGAAAATTCTACCCCTTAGGGATTTTAAAAAAGTGTTAATTTTACTATGGAAAACAACTCTGTGTATAGGTATACGTATATGATTAATCGGAACGACTGACGGAGTATTGATTTCGAATACTACGGTTGTAACTGTCAGTTTTAAACTGAATGGTGTGCCGACGGGTAACTATTGGTGAACGTAGATTATCGCCGACGAATGTAGAAGAACCATACAAATTCGAGGGAAAATAATATCGTATTTTTGAGTTGTCTAACAAAGGTGGTTAAAAATATCTTTTAATATTTCTGAACGTTTGTTTATATTTACATTTTATCTTTATTTGCAATAATCTAGGCATTTACATTTTTTACGCCCATAGAAATAGCGTTACGAACATAAGTAACGCATATATATATAAACATACTACCGTACGTGTGTTCGTTAACCATAAAATAAGTACATATTTCACGAAAACAGTAGTTTTGCTATCCAGTATGAAAGGAAAACTTAATGAATCATTTAAATCATATATAGGTGAAAATAGGTGTTAAATACTGCTATAATCTAAGTTATTAATGAAAAGTAAAAACTTTGGTCAGATAAATTTATAAAAGTTTTATTTTTCGAATTATTAATCAAGTTTTGGATATAAGTACTAATGTAATAGAAAGTTTTATGCACTAGATATAATAAATTGTTGTTTTATTTTAAATAAAAATAAATACATAGTACAAAGAATACACAAAGAAAATTATTTAATGCGATTTTCTAAGTTATATTTATTTACTTTAAAAAGTGACCTATTAACAAACTATAAATCTAGCTTGTCTAGTATTTATAATTAATTATACATTGTATACTACTTGTTTACTTAAATATATTTTTACGTTTGTCTCTACCAAATTTGTTTCACGCATTAATTTATCGGGATTAAACTGTTTTTGGTATAAATTAAAACATTACATATATTATAGGTATGGATTTGACATTTTACATTTCCAAAACGGTTGTTTTGACTTAAGTTGCTGTATACACATATTCGTTGTTGGTACAATCATTTTAGAAGTGCATTGTATATTTTAATAGAAGGTTTAAAACAATTACGTTCTTCGCTAAGGGTCAACAATTTAAGATTGATTACAAAAATAATTTGTCAGCTGCAGAGTTCAGAAACAGGTTTATTCATCCTCTGTCGTATATACATATACTCGTATATTATTCTATATAAAATAATTGTGTGTTGTTAAACCTAAGAAAAATAGTTTTCATTTAGTTAAGTAGGTATAAAGCTATAAGTACTCGATTATATTTTATAATGGAGATTTAGAGAATTGAATTATTGTTTATAATATTTAGGTATTAAAATAAAAGTAATATTTATATAGGTCTTCTACATTCAATTTTATATTCTAAAATAAATTAACGGTTATAATCCTATATTCAATCCTTGACTGAATGAAAAAAAAAATCAAAACTATTTTTACTTAATATTCGTAGATAATCGCTGATGTATCATTATGATGAAGAAAAATCACTCTAAATGACGATTATATAAACATAATATAATATAGTCTTTAACAAACACGGATCGGTTATTACGATTCAAAGGAGGTTTTATTCTCGTTTTTCCTTATTGAAATTTTATAAGCTATCTGTTTTTTGTTGTTGCGTCGTCCAGTAGTCGTTTACACGCACACACAATGGTTGGTATTCTTTCATTTTCTGTGGTTTTTTTTATTTAACTGACAAATAAAAATGATATAATAACTGAATCTGGTACTATTGGTTATCCGATTCGATTTCATTTCCTTTATTAACTTCCAAAATGTAATATTATCATCGAAACGTCCTACTGAAATCGATTACTTTTGTGTCAAAATAATCGCTTAGGTCCATACCAAAATAACAATGTACTCTAATAATAATAAAAACATACCTATGTATTTCTAACCACTACAGTATTATGACTGCTTATTATTTGTATATATCTACTACAATTTACCGTTCGTTACGAGTGATTTGAAAATTATTTTGTTGTAATATTACTTGTTATATTATTATATCTGGGTAATCAAATTTAATATTGTTTATTACATTATACAGTTTTGAATACCGACTTACCAATTCTAATTAAAATGTATAATTGTATAGAGCTATTTATAATATTATGAATTTAGAGCATGGAACATTGTGTATTAGTATATCTGTCAAACATAATAGAACAGTGTGTTGATTTTAAAGTCAGATTTGATACAAATAATATATGATTCAATTTATAATTTTTCGAATACCTTCATATTATATTTTAGATTTAATGCATCAGGTCTATTATTATTAAAAAAGCGTTTGAAATGGAATGTAATTGTGCAGCATTTCTAGAAAAAAATGTATTAAATATTTAATCCTGAATGAACCTGCAAAATCATCGATTAACACATATACTGATATTATGTATACGAATTTCAAGGGGACGAGAGTCACACTCTGCCTTTCCGAATAGCACCACTAATTTTTACATAAATTGACTATAGGTACAATTTTCTTTTAAGTACAATATTACGGAGAGCAATTTGACTTTTTTCAATAAAAAACACTGACAATAAAACATAATCAAAAAGCTGGAAGTTATAACCGTAACTTTAACTACAACTATAATATAATATTTACTTTATTGACATTTTTTTTAAAACATTTTTATAGTAAACTTATATTGTTGCTTAGATGTTGAATATTGATTTTTCATTAAATAATAATATTATAGTGTCTATTTTAATTTAAATTTTTTTTTTATGGAACTTATTTAATTTTTACAGCAAACATTATGTCCGCGTCCTATAGGTATATTGATTAGTATATGATTCCGTGATATAATTGAAAATAATTATATATATAACATTATTGATATTAGAAAAATTATCTGTGGACTTTTACTTTGGACATTAGTCATTATTAACTATAAGTATTTATTATCTGTAATATGTTATTCTACTGTCTCATGTATAACTGCTGGAAATAATGAAGTAGATAATATAAAACAGTGGAATGTTTTTTCGCACTTTTTAAATTAATTACGAATGTTTAATGCATAGAATTTTAGAAGGTGCTTTCATAATATACTAATATATTTCTTTATTATAAATATTATATAGGCTTTATACATATTTGAAATAATTTATAATTACTCGATTCGCTTTTTCATAGTTTTATTGCGATTATTGTCTATTGTACGGTTGGTTTTATTTTGATATAATCGTGTTTCGACTTATTTTTGAATCAATTAAAACGATAACATTTATTATATACATTATCATTCTTATTATATCCGTTCACGATGTATTTATGACGTCGTCGGGTTACAGCTAGGATAGTAGTATTAGTATAGAGCACACCTCCAACATTTAATTCGATTTAATATTTACATGTTATTTCAAAATTGTCGGTACACATCGAATGATATTGAATAAAAAAAAATGTATTTTGACGTATTATGTACCACCTTTTGTGTTTGTAGACTGTAAGCATAATAACAAAAGTAATTAATTAATATTAGCCGGTTTATATTATTTAAGAAACCATAAATAACATAATATATGAATTTGTTTTATTTAAATTAATTTCATAACATGTTTCAAAAAAGTGGCTATTTATGTATTGTTGAATCTTTACATTAACGCTTTTCGGTTAGTATCACTATTAGGCAAGTGATCACTGCACTGTACAAGATACGTATTTTCCGGTCAACATTATAAAATATTACATAATAATAATTTATTATTAAATATGAAATAATTTGTCAACACGTTTACAAATTCACCCCTATGTCCTTTCTTTTTTTATTTTTATTGATTTCTGGGGGTTGCATTGGTAACAATAGAAAAACCAGACTAAAACTACTTATTTTATTTCGAATCGTTTTTGTTTTGCAATTATTTATCGTTGCGTACAGTATATATATTAAATAAACTATATATCACCTTCAAAACTACCTACTTATAACAGTGTCCTACATATGATGCAAAATAAGTCGTGAAGTAAACATTTTTTTTTTAAATTCTTAATTCAATACTAATATATATTTTACTTTACGGAATATTTATGTTTAAAAAAATGAAACGTACCTATTTAATTTTTAATTGTTTAAAACCCCTTTCATGTTTAATTAGTGTTTATTCATGTTTTTATGTTATTAATTTAAAATGCGGCGTGTGCAATTGCAGTCCTTCTGGCACATTTGACCACCTACGAGTTGAACTGTATAGATACGCTGTTTTAATTTGTTTTGTTTGTTTTGTAATATTTCTTTGAATTAATTGTTTTGTACGTACACCACATGACGACCGCCCGACTGGCCACATCAACAAAAACCTTATATATTGTTACGGGAACTACTTTTTCGTCGGTTTTTATTATTCTTTTTTAATTTAATTTAAACTATTCATCTTTGGTTTTTAAAAATTAAGACACTTTAACTTTTTAAAACCTAATTTTCTTGGGAAATCACAAAATTAATTTTATTTTCTTATTCAAAAACAAAAAATGTATCACTGTATTTTCGTTAAAAGAGGTATTATTTTAATATGAATTACACAAGTGGTTATTGGAATCAATAAAATTAAAAATAGGCTTTACAAATCCACTCTAATCTGTGAGTGTATTTGTAATTTCAGGCATATTAAATTCAAAGAATATGAATGAACCTCACAATAAGTCTTAGAGTGGTATAGGTAGCAAAAATGCAACAATAAAAAAAAAGTTATATTATTAGGTATACATTTTCAACGACATGGTGCTGTAAGAGAAACAAAATAACGAGTCGCAATGAATCGAACATTGTTTAATGATTGTAAAAACATGAATGTAGGAAACATAATACCTATAAGTGTATTAAATCACTGTTACTGTTATGAAAATAAATAAAAATGTGTGTACAAAGTATTAAAACCGAAGAAATACCATGGAACTCAATCTGCAGGTATTGAAATGATTTAGAGGTTAAATAATTATTTATGCAGTTTAACATAAATCACGTACCTTTCTATTATTATTGCTATTATGACGGCTTGCGAGTTTTATATACTAATATTTAGCTATACCTGTATGGAAAATAAAAACAATACGTGTAAATTATACCACGTGACATCGATGTCACCATCACTGTCAACACAAACATTTTGGCAACGGTTGTTGCCTGAAACTAATTACCCGTAAAAGTTTACGACTGAAAATATAAGTATAGGTATTGTTCAGTATTACCTACCGAATCTAAAGTAATTGTTGTTTGTTTAAAACTTCCGAATTAGCTACACAGATCATATTTCTCTCTCTTTCTCTCTATTTTCTATCTCTCTCTTCTTCTATCTATTAAAAAAAAAAAAAAAAAAACTATCTTAAAGCCTTCCTTGACCCGTTTTGTAAACTATTTTGATTGAGTATCATATATTTGAATTACACGATGTGTCAAGTAATTAATATTAATTATCATTATCATTTTTTTTATTTTTAATTTATATAACAAAATATATTCAAATAGATTATAATATTACTCGTCAGTCGTCGTACACCAATATGTTTATTGAATGTATCAACAAAATTACAAAATATAGTAATCTTCTTCTTCATTATCTTTATTTTTATCATTATTTATGGTCAACCACATCCGTTTTAAACTCAGTTGACCGGATTTTATATTTAGCATACACTGACATGTCTAAACCATCTCAATATATTTTCACTAATTTTGTTTAATATCGAAGCCACGCCTAAGCTAACTCGTATGTACACATCTCCTTTTTCTATATTTTCACGTCACTCCACTAAGCAATCTAAACATTATTATCTTTATTATATTCATTCTTTGTTCTATTTTTTTTGTCTACCACCACATATTCCGAACCATACAACATAATCAGTCTCAACACACATTTTAAAAACGTACGTTTTTAGTTTCATTAGAATTCTTTTGTCCATAAAAACCTGAAACTTCTCTCTAATAAAATTCCTCATGAAAGCTACCGTTATTTTCTAAAAAATATCCTAGATACTTAAAGCTTTTAACCTTGATTATATTCACTTATTGTCGTTAATTGTCTTATCACGTTCCCTTAAACTCATAATCTACATATTCTGTTTTACCTAAATTTATCCTTAGTCCCTTTCCTTCAAAATGTCCACTCAATTTCTCAAGTCTATAGTTAATTTGTTTCAATTTTTTTCCTATCAAATCTATTTATCATACACCATGGTACCTCCTCTCACTTGTATTTCCCGTGGATATCAGAGATGGGATAATACGCAAAGTCTTGTTTGGTACTCCTCATACCGTTTGTTAGAATTTTATACCGGCTGTTCACATATCGAAACTCTATTTGTTTATGACATGTATAAAGGTACCGTGGGAGTATTCTGATCCTCTTCCTCGAGGAGAATGTTATTATCTATTATAAAGTGAATTTCTCTACCCTACAGAGACAATACCTTATGCCTACTGGAATCAACTATCTGAGCGTTTAACCAGTAGGAGCTCGGGCCCGAGTTCGTGGAACTCAAAAACATCATAACTTCCTAGGATGATAAACCATTAAAATGGTATTATAATCTACAAATAATCACTATACATACAAAAATCGATATTTGAAACAAATTTCTAGGCCGATAAGTGATTCCAATATAATTATAGAAACATTACGAGGTGTGGCTATTAAACAACGAGACTAATTACGAAAAAGTGTTTTATTATAAAAGTTATTCTACATTCAAATACTCCCCTTCAATATACTCCCCTCCTCTCACCACACACCATTTCATTCGTCTCTTCCATTGCTCGAGGCAGTGCTGGAAGTCTGTTTTCGTAAGACCATTCAGGAGTTCCGCCGATTTTTGTTTCACCTCTTCCATCGACTCAAACCGGATTCCTTTTAAGGCAGACTTAATCTTCGGAAACAAGTGAAAGTCACAGGGTGCCAAGTCGGGTGATTAAGACGCGTGTTCGAGTACTGGAGTGCCTTAAGCGGCCAAATAACGTTTCACAGACAGCGCGTTATGAGCAGGTGCGTTATCCACGACTTGTTTTTCCACAATATCGACCGTTTCTTACGAACTCATTCGCGCAATGTTGCCAAAACTTTCAAATAGTAATGTTGGTTCACAGTTTGACCCTCTGGAATCTATTCAGTCATCACGATGCCGTTGATATCGAAGAAAACGGTTTTGAATTTGGATTNCACTCAGTTGCAGTTTTGTTTAGTTTAACGAGAAAATTTTACGTTTATCCGCTGCTCATGTTCTTCGTCACACATCGTTTTCGGCACGAGAAAAAAACACGTTCGTTTCTACTGCACAAATACTATAATAGTGACGAAAACGTGTTTTGGTACGTGCATAGATAAGATATCTAGATACCCAACGCATTACTCGTTTTTTTCATTACCCATCTAGGGCGCCCTAAAGGTGTGAAGTCTCGTTATTTAATAGCCACACCTTGTATAGTAAAATCAATAAGAATAATACGTATCACGGAATTTGTATTAACTATGTAACCTATTTTTTCGAGACATTTTTTTATTTATAAAAA